ATGATAGTTTGGTGAATATGATAAAAACATATTGATATGATAATAAAATATTGCATGTACTTATTAATTGTTTGTACTTTACGGGAGGTTTCACTTATAAAAAACCGTTTTAACCTAATGTATAGATATTTATGTATACATATACAGTAGTTTCAAACGAATTTAATTGAAATTTAATATACAGATAGATTATGATCGAATGTAGCCCGTAGATTACTATTTCTAATATAAAATCTTAAAAAAACCGACTTCCAGGCACTAAAATGTAAAAAATAACTGAACGGGGGTTTTCATTTAGAATAGATATAATCAGATATTTTCGAAGTCGGTGCCAGCCGACGCAAAGCAAATCTAATATATTTCGATACGTAATATTTACCTATTAGATATTCATATCTTAAAATATTGTCGGCTGGCACCGACTTGGAAATAATCTGATTAGGTGTCTATTCTAAATGAAAACCTCCGTTTAGTTATTTTTTACATTTTAGTGCCTGGAAGTCGGTTTTTTTAAGTTTTTTTATTAGAAATAGTAATCTACGGGCTACATTCGATCATAATCTATCTGTATATTAAATTTCAATTAAATTCGTTTGAAACTACTGTATATGTATACATAAATATCGACGTTTCAACGTGAATGAGTTACAAACGTACAAACTTTCGCATTTTTAATGACTATTAAGGTCTATTTTTTAAATCACACGTGATTTGAAAAATCTTGTCACAAATGCTGCAAAAAAGGATAAATAAAAAAGAAGACTTTTACCCTACAATTTAGTTTAATAATTTAATTAATATATAGCAATTATTTTTTGTATAACCTAAAAATCTTTGCAATGTTACTTAGTAATAAAAATATATGAATAGATAGCTACATATTTCGATATTTTTAGATATTCTTAGCAGTAGCCAATATCGAATACATAACCTATTAGATTATACCATGTATTTTAGGCAACATGACAGTTGTAGGCGTAGATGAATTGACGATACCGCAATACCCGGTGGCAATGTCCGTGGAACGCCTACGTGCGCTCACTCTAACCACTTTTATTAATGTTATTACTTCTTACATAGGTGATGTGTTTTTATTCCTTATCACTATAATGACCAGAGATCTATGTTTATTAGTTGAAATAAAATTTACAATAAAGAAAATTACGAGTATACCAAATTATATATACAAAACAAATGTACACTTAGTTATTGCTGTTCAAGTCAAATATGAAATAGAATGAAAATATTAAATAGTATAGTTTTTCCATTCATTTGGAGAATTAGAAGATCTTTATTTCTTTTTAATATTGCATAATAATGAAAATTTATATAATGAAAAAACATTTTGAGTAATAATGAGAGCTGCGGCGTAGTTGCGACGAGGGCTGTATGTTTGACCTGTTGTATGTATCTTTATATGTATGTCCGAATCTGTGTTCTCTCGTAACTACTAAAGGTAAACTGAAGGAACTCAAGCGTGAAGGGCTCACTAACTTACTAACAGCCCTTATAATCAGATTTTTGTTACTATCGATTTGATGATATGTCAGGATATTAACACACAAAACCATCTAGTTCCATGTCTACGAGGCTTGTGTTATGGATACCAGGTAGTTGATACATTATACATATATAACTTTAAATACATACATATTATAACTATAAACACCCATGACTAGAGTACAAACATTCGTGCTCATCACACAAATGAATACCCCCAGCGGGACTCGAACCCGCGACCGCTGGCGCAGCAAGTAGGGTCACTACAAACTGAGCCAAACGTGTCGTCAATGATACCAAAGTATTGTATTACTTGAAGTAAATACAATTTTTACTTAAATAGTTTGGTACTTTGTTATTTACACCCTAATTAATGATCGTAATTAAAAATATAAAATAAAACATGTTTTTTAAATAAAACCTATGTAGTTAACAAGTAATGTAAAAAGCGTGTTTAATATTTGCATGCCGTTAGTTAGCATCGGTAAATGTTAGACAATCTAGTTAAACTAAAACAAACATACAGTCCCCACGAGGATTGAATGACATAATATGACGAATGAGGATTCAGTTTCACACAATTTCATTCGTTGATTCCGATATTAAGTTGGATACATTCGTGATACATATGTTATTTACTTGTTTACGCTAAAATAAAATGTTGCCATTTTAGCGGTTTATTTATTTATTTATTGGTTTTTTTATAGCCGTATTTTAAATTAAGTAATTTATAAACATCGTTTTATGATTCTGAATGATTATTGTCGCGAATACCGTAGGGTAATCGCGAAATAAATGTTTAATCATTCAAATTATTATCTGTCATTAACGTGACGGTAGTACGAAAAGAGTTCGATAGGATAGATTGAGATTTGACACAGACGCGGTCGAGACGCGAGCGAGGCAGATCAGGCGTAACACCGTGTGTTCTCAAGTAAGTGGATTTATTTTACCAGTTTGTGAATATTCAATGTTATTGCGTGTGAGCAGATTGCTTGATCAGAAATCAGATTCAGAGTATTCCATTCAGTATAGACATATGTTAACATGTTATCAGATAAATCAGATAAATCAGACCAGTGATGTGAGATCAGTTAAATCAGTTTATTAAATCAGAACAGTTATCAGTTTAGCGAGGCTCGGGGTGGCTATAGGGGAGGTTGGAGGCCACTAGCGAGGGACCAGACCCTCGTACATTAAATCAGTATATGTTCATTACCAGCAATCAGTAAATCATATGTTTAACAGTTACATACATATAATTATTATGATATGTGTTGTATCTACGTCTCATGTTATATTCGTCTAATACCAATGAACAGGGTATATGGCGACATGGTGGAGGTGCTGGGATATGACATTTATTATTTATTAAAAAATATATTCTAAAGTGATAATAGTAAATCAAAAGAATATTATATTTTTACTTTTATTCTCAAAAATTCAAACGTCGGTTGATAATTATAAATAGTATCGCGTGATGGTTATAAGTAAAGCAGTTTACCCGCATAATATCGAATGAATATCGTTTTCTGTTACGAGTACCTACATGTTCATAAATTTTTTATATATAACATTTAATTTAAAATGAAAGAAGAAATTAGAATGAGGTATATATATTATGTACCTATAAATAAAGCATAATCAATAATTGTTAGTTGAACGTTGAAAGTTTTAATTCTAAAGAATTTGAAATGATAAATAGTTAATTTTAAAAGCAGTTATGATTCTACAGAGATTAAATATTTTAAAATTATATAATCTCGATATTAAAAAAGTAATTAGTATAAGAAATATTTAGTTAATATGTATTATACTGTTATTTAATAGTACCTATTTTTATTAACGATTTTATTTTATATTGTAATATTCAGGATTTTTTTTTGATTACATAAATTAAACAGTACTCGTAGTAAAAAAGTCAGTGTTTCTCAAAGTTTACACTATTGAACAAAAAAAAAAGTCGAATAAAACTGTAAATAAAATAAAACATGATAAATGAAATATAAAATTATTCATATAATTTAATTTATAATAAATATGAAAACTGGCTAATATTTAACTTCGCTAGGATTTTGTGAGCTATTTATTTAGTATTATTTTGTGTCTTGTTACAGTTTCCAATATAATATGATTATTGATACTGAATTTTAAATACTGTATTCATAATGGAAGAAGTCATCCGAACCCGACTTAGAATTATTCATGAATCTCTTCTTACATATATAGATTCAGCTCAATGTGCGTATACACGAGTAATGGACAGTGATTTTAATTTAAATGAATTACAGTTAATTGAATCTAAATTAAAGGGAGCAGTTGATAGATTTGTTATAGAAATACATAATTATTGTAAATCAGTTAATGAATCCAACTTAGAAGAAATTAGTCATTACACAGCGACACAAATTAAGGCTCAAGATTTGATAGCAGAAATAAATGTTTGTCTAAACAATAGGTATAGAACAAAAGTACCACAGTCCGATGATAATCAAAATGTAGTCAGTAAGTTACCGCGAATGGAACTAGCAAAATTCGATGGTAAGGTACTTAAGTGGTATCAATTTTGGGATCAATTTTCATCAAACGTTGATAATAGGAATATAAGTGATGTTGATAAGTTATTATATTTACAATCGGCTCTAGAAGGTGACGCTAAACAGGCAATTGAAGGATTAGATACAACTAATAAAAATTATCAAATAGCGGTTAAAACATTAAAAGAACGATATGGAAAACCAAGCGTTATTATTGATGCTCATTATGTTGCATTATATAGAATTAAATCAGCAAGTAAAGCAGTAAAAGAGTGTAGACAGGTATTAAATGAGATTGAAAGGCATCTAAGGGTTCTTAGCTCTTTGGGCGAAGATGTTAATCATAACCATCTTCGAGTAATGATTATAGAGAAATTTCCAGAAGATCTTATTTATGAGTTACGGTTAAAAATGACTGACGAAAATGAATCTATTGATGTTATAAGAAAGTATTTAGAGTATATAATATCGGCAAGAGAAACGTCCAACAGATTAAAAAGAGAAATAGAAAGTTCATGCATAGAAGGTAGTAACAGTGAAAACAGGCTAAACGCAGAGCAATTTACATTAGGTTCATTACATGTAAGGACTGAAGACAATAGAAGTAATAAAAATCGTTTTATGACTACAAATAGGGAAAGACCTAGGGTAGGACATAAATTTAATGATAAATTTAAATTATTCTCACGAAAACGAACCCGTGATCTAGTTAATCAAACCGATGAGCCACCTAAAAAGAAGTTCATAAAAAGATGTGTATTCTGTAAACAAGATCATTTTAATGACGAGTGTACTAATTTTAAAACTGTACAAGATAGAAAATCATATTTAGGCAATCGTTGTTATAATTGCTTTGGTGAAGGACATAAATCTAAGAATTGCTTTTCTAAACGAAAGTGTAGGCATTGTAATAAATTTGGGCTCCATAATCGTGCTTTATGTCCCAATAAATCAGCCCCGCTAATGAAATCATCGCAAACTGATAGTCTGCATATTAGTTCTGCAGTAACAACCACTTTACTTCAGACTTGCCTTGTTAATGTTAGTGATTTGAGTGACAAGCCTAAAGAGAAAACTTGTAGATTATTACTTGATTCTGGTAGCCAACGTTCATATATAACATCATCAATTGCAAATCATTTAAACCTGCCCACTATAGAAAATGTAGATTTGTCTATTTTTACATTTGGTACGAAATCTCCACAATATATAAAAAGTCGTGTAGTTAATTTTATAATTAAGACGCGAATCGGTGTAAAGCGATCTATATACGCGAATGTAGTACCTCATATTACTAATTCCGTACAAGCGCCAGTATTTAATAATTCAGTGAAATTATTACAAGACAGTAGATTAAACAAACTCATTTTAGCAGATGATGGTTCTTATGGAGATAAAATAGACATTTTAATAGGTAATGATTATTATCATACATTTATATCGAATGAAAAGTTATGTATTTCTGATAATCTTTTCTTAGTAAGTTCAGATTTTGGGTGGATATGGTCAGGTAGAGTAAACGAAACAAATACGGTAGATCAATTATCAGTTTTAACCTATTTTCAATCAACAGGAATTTATGATAGTAAATTACATAAACCGGATCTTCCATTAAAGACAGACGATGTTAAAAGGTTATGGGATCTAGAATCGATAGGAATAGTAGATTCTCCAAAATGTTCTCGTGATGAGGAAGCGATTAAACAATTTAATAAAACTATTCAGTACAAAGACAATAGATATTACGTTAAATGGCCTTGGGCCGAATATCCTCCTAATTTACCTAATAATTTAGGCTTAGCTTATGGTCGTCTAAGTAATTTATTGAAACGTTTAGATAATTTAACTATAAAGTCATATGATAAAGTCATTCAAGAACAATTACAGAATGGTGTAATAGAGATAGTCAAAAACGCTTCCTTTTCACTGAGTCATCCTGTGCACTATCTACCACATCATTGTGTTTATAATCGAGATAAACCCAATAAGCTTCGTATTGTATATGATGCGTCAGCCAAAACAGTAGGAAATCAAAGTTTAAACGAATGCTTATATAAAGGCCCCTTAATGCTAGAAGATCTTACTGCGCTATTGATTAAATTTAGAGAACATGCGATTGGCATTATAGCAGACGTTGAAAAAGCATTTTTACAATTAGGTCTTCAAGAACCAGATAAAGACGTGACGCGCTTTCTTTGGCTGAAAAATATCAATGATTCAGTTAACAAAGAAAATATATTAACTTTAAGATTCTGTCGAGTACCTTTTGGAGTTATATCTAGTCCATTTCTCCTCAATGCTACAATAAAATACCATTTAATGAAATCTAATAACTCAATTTTAAACCAGATAGCTGACGATATTTATGTAGATAATATTATAACTGGTGCTAAAACGGTTTTAGAGGCACAAAACTTATACAACACGTCCAAATTAGCCTTTAATGATTTGTCTATGAACTTAAGGGAGTGGAATTCAAATTCAAAAGATTTTCTTTCACGTATACCTGATAAATTTTGTACAGATATTGAGGAAGTTAAAGTTTTAGGTTTAATATGGAATACGAGGGATGATAAATTATTATTGAAATATGATATTAGTCAAACAGATTTAGATTCAGTTTACACAAAACGAAGTATTTTAAAAGTAATTGCTTCGGTTTATGATCCTTGTGGTTATGCTGTTCCAATAGTGCTTCCAGCTAAATTATTTTTCCAGAAGTTATGGAAACAAAAGATTTTATGGGATACTAAGATTAATAGTGATTTACTTAATGAGTGGAAGCAAATAATATCGAAGTTTAGTTATCTTAAAAATATTAGCATTGACAGATATTTCTTAAAAAGTATAGGTAACACCAGGGCTAGTGAAAAAATAAGACATGAATTACATTGCTTTACTGATGCTTCTACGGAAGCATATGCTGCATGTATATATTTACGTAGTTCTTGGGGTACTAGTAATATTGTCACTTTTATTATTGGCAAGTGTAGATTAGTACCTATTAAGGAGCAAGTTAATTTACAGATTCCAAAACTAGAATTGCTTGGAGCACTTATTGGAAATAGACTATTACAGTACGTAAATAAAAATTTAAGGTTAAGTATAAAGGCGCAGGTTTTGTGGACCGATAGTCAAATAGTTTTAGGTTGGTACCATTCTAGTAAGCTTCTTTTGCCTTTTGTGTCGCGGAGGATTAATGAAATCAAGCAAAATAAAACTTTAATTCTTAGGTATATACCTGGTCAATACAATCCAGCAGACATAGGTACGAGATCTGACCGGATAGATCATTATGATAGGTGGCTCAAAGGTCCAGACTTTTTACTAGATAACTCTGAAAATTGGTTTTCTATGTTTAATAATTGTGTATATCAAGTGGAAACGCAAATCTCTTCTGTCGGGGAGGGTCTCTCGAATGAGAATACAAATAATAAAAGCACTTTAGTTGAGAATGAAAGTAATATAAATAATTTAGATATGATAAGTACAACGGAATTAGATAAAGAACCAATTAGCGATAGTGACAGTGATTTAGAAATTATTTTGAAAGTACAAGCTCAATATTTTCCAGAAGAAACGAAAGGTATTGTATCTAATTTTGCAAGATCACTTGGCCTATATAAAGATGTCAATGGGATATTGAGATGTAAAGGTAGATTTAAACATACTGATTGGACTCATTGTCATAAAGAACCTATATTACTTCCAAAAAATTCAGAATTTACACATAAAATAATAGCTGATTTACACGAGAAAAACTATCATGTTGGAGTATCTCATACATTGGCTTTACTTAGAAAAACATTCTGGGTTCCTCATGGTAGATCAACCGTACAAAAGATTCTTAGAAAATGCCGAAATTGCTTAAAATACGGAGGTGGTCCATTTAAATTGCCAGCGATGCCCGATTTCCCATCAGAAAGAGTTAAGTTTAATTTACCTTTTACATTTACGGGAATGGATTATTTTGGGCCGCTTTATGTAATAAATGACAGTAAGGAGAAATGTTGGGTGTGTTTATTTACATGTTTGACGATCAGAGCAATACATATGGAAATTGTTAGAGATTTATCAGCAGAAGAATGTCTATTAGCAATCAGAAGATTTGTTGCAGTACGAGGTTTACCCAAACTTATTATTTCCGATAACGCCACACAGTTCAAACTTACAGCAGAGGTATTGTCGTCTGATTATTGTATCTTGAATAAGATACGTTGGAAATTTATACCTGAATTAGCTCCTTGGTTTGGGGGCTTTTATGAACGTTTAATAGGCTTAGTAAAGCATTGTCTTAAAAGAACGGTGGACAAACATTCGCTTAACTTTAATCAGTTGTGTACAGTTATAAAAGAAATTGAAGCGATCATTAATACTAGGCCCTTGACACCAGTAGGAGCTGAACTAGAGCATGTCTTAACGCCATCAGATTTTTTACGAATCTGAGGAACAACTACGACCGAGATATCGGATCGTGACCTTCTAGAGCCATCTTCAGTTACTAAATATAACCTAATTGATAGTTGGAAACGTGGTCAGATTATTATTCAGGAGTTTGTGAAAATGTTTAGTAATCAATATTTATGTAGTCTTCGTGAACGAAGAAACAGACATAGACAAGCAAGAGTTGTAGTTGACAGGGTACCGAGGGTCGGTGAAATAGTTCAGATAAAAGCAGAAGGTAGTAGAGTGAACTGGAAAGTTGGCAAGATAAAAGAGCTTATTAAGGGTTCGGATGGACATATCAGAGTTGCAAAAATTAATACAATGACAGGAGAAACGTTGACTCGATCAATAAGTCATCTATATCCTCTTGAAGTTGAAGATAACATGAATACAGTATCAGTTCCTGAAAGGGAATCAATACAGGCAAATCAGTTAGAACAACCTGGAATAAGTAAAATAGCAACCAGTGAAATTAAAAATTCAGCGCCCAGTAATTTCAAACGACCAAGCAGAGTGTCAGCTACGAAAGCCAGGGACAGAGTTAAAAAATGGACTTCTCAACTTATGTTAATTTTATTTGATGAATTATAATTTATTCAGATATTTTAAATCAGATGATTGTTGTTTCTGTTAAGATTTGTAATCAGTTTATGAAAATTAAAGACTAATTGTAATCAGTTAAATCAGAGCAATTTTATTTTCCTTTTGGCGGGGAGTGTCGCGAATACCGTAGGGTAATCGCGAAATAAATGTTTAATCATTCAAATTATTATCTGTCATTAACGTGACGGTAGTACGAAAAGAGTTCGATAGGATAGATTGAGATTTGACACAGACGCGGTCGAGACGCGAGCGAGGCAGATCAGGCGTAACACCGTGTGTTCTCAAGTAAGTGGATTTATTTTACCAGTTTGTGAATATTCAATGTTATTGCGTGTGAGCAGATTGCTTGATCAGAAATCAGATTCAGAGTATTCCATTCAGTATAGATATATGTTAACATGTTATCAGATAAATCAGATAAATCAGACCAGTGATGTGAGATCAGTTAAATCAGTTTATTAAATCAGAACAGTTATCAGTTTAGCGAGGCTCGGGGTGGCTATAGGGGAGGTTGGAGGCCACTAGCGAGGGACCAGACCCTCGTACATTAAATCAGTATATGTTCATTACCAGCAATCAGTAAATCATATGTTTAACAGTTACATACATATAATTATTATGATATGTGTTGTATCTACGTCTCATGTTATATTCGTCTAATACCAATGAACAGGGTATTTGGCGACAATTATAGAATATCTCATAAAATAAAAATAAATTCCTTTACAGCTTATATAATTAATTTTTCTTTTTTAATTTTCATTTATAAGTATTTTACTAATATGATTATCATTTTAATTAGTAAAATGCATTAGAATGCTTTGTAAGTTCATTAAATATTTATGATACATTTGCTTCTAAGTCGTTATTATTTTACATTTTATATAGGAACTTTTTCGTTGCCAATTAAACTAACTACTACATCCATACCTCTGTGTTGCCAATTTTTATTTATATGTAATGAATAGTGAATATACTAATAATTATATCGACGAGAAACATTATTTTTAATACAAAAATATAGTTTCAACATAAAATAAATTAAATTGACGTTTCATTATCATATTACAACAAAAACAATTAATTTCTTTAAAAGTTTTACGTACATTGTTGATATTTACAGCACAAACAAGATGCTACGATACACTATCTGATGAAGCTACACGCTACAGACCGTTTTGTGTTAACGCCACACTGAGGACAATAAAGACAACTACCGAGTACCGGACACAGGAAAATTAAACTAAACGACCAGACCGTTTACTTTAAATGAAAATAACTCAGAAAGTCGTCGATTTATTTTGTTACCTAGTGAAGGCTGTAGGAACCTTGTTGTACGTAAGAATAAGTTGTACTTATATATAGTAGGTACAAATATAACTGAATTTACACTTGTACTGTATGCGATGAATCTTTTGAGCGGTTAGCAATTTAAGACGACCGGTGAGAGATCAGACGCAAATCCGACGGCTTTACGAGCTAACACCGGTAACTTCCCGACTCTGGGTTGCTATTGAGAATTTCTTGACAGGAATGCCGAGCTTTATACTTGGCCCGATCCGGAATTCAAAACTCAGGCCCTTAAGACCTATAGTTTATATCAGCCACTATTTATATAGCCAACAGGTAAAAATATTAAAATTGAGACAATTTAAAAACCACCGTAGTCCATAGATTAATTATTTTTCAACTTTGCGTTTAGATGTTTGGAAACCATAACATAACAATAAAAAAATTAATTTGAATATCTGTTTATTCTTAAATCACTCGAGACATAAGATTTTTATGTCTTGTGAAACATATTGGTATAAGTACACACTATACTGCTATAATGAATTATCACATCTGGCATATATTGTAAGCTCGCATTTGTGACAATGCATTTTCCTTCTCTTACATACTTAGGTACCAAACTAACAATTTACATAATGACACTTCGTAGTAGGTACTTCAATTTTTTATTTCGACATTAGTGTCTATACCTAACTTAATTTTGTTCACTTTATATATTTTAAAATATCTATGTTATTAAATAAGATTTTTCTTTCCTCAGTAAAATAATATTACGAAAGGCATTAGAAATATAACGAATAGGGAGACCCGTACGATTTAGAGTAGCGACGGCGCGGCGGGTGTTCGAGACATGAATGCAAATAGCCAGGGACTCAATACAAATACGCGGCGAGTGGAATTGAACAATATATTATATTTCAGCAAAGCCCCCGCCTTTGCCTTCGATATTTCACTGATACCGCTTAGATGTTCACATTTCGTAAATATTGCAAAAGAATTCTCTTTTTATTTAAATCTTATAGCCATGTCAACCAAAATGACCATTTTTACATTAAAAAAACAGTTTTATTGTACATAGATTTCAAAGCGCTCACGCATATTTTTAGTTTTAAAATCATTAAGTAAAGAATATTTATTACTTGTAACTACTTCACACATCTTTTTAAAACAAGTATTTATTCTGTTGTAATAACTTTCATCTGAAATTATAAAGTATTTTATCAAAAATATATTTTGTACTCACAATTCACAACTATATATATTTGCAGAAGCAGAAATTTATATAAAAGGCTATCTTATCGCAAGTAAACGCTTTTCCAGGTAACCCTTAGCGCTTATGTATAGGAAGAAGCATACTGTAAGAGGGATGGGATTTGAATATAACAGAGTTATATAATAAAGTAATATTACACAAATATTTAAATTTTTATATACAACAGTAACTAAACACACTGAAATATCTATATTTATACCTAATATGTAAAGCTGAAGAGTTTGTTTGTTTGTTTGTTTGAACGCGCTAATCTCTGAACCTACCAGGCTGATTGAAATTTTTTTACGTTTTTAGCCTATTTATCGAGGAAGGTATATCCTTCTATCTTCCATCAGACTACGGTATTAGAGCGGAATAATGCTACAAAATAAGATAAAAACTGTTTAATTTCTTATTTTTCCCTTTTTAGTGTAGACAGTAGTAGCAAAGTAAGAATTCTAACGTGTTAGGCTTGTCAAATCAAAAAAAATAAGCCCAAACTCAAAGTATCTACTATTAGCCGTTGAAGAGTTCCACCTATCCACCTTCTGGCCTTACCATCAGATCAGGTCTACAATACCGAACCACTGTACTATCAACGGAAATAGAAACATTTGCAAAGTTTCGAGTCAATATGACAATTAGAAGTAGGTTAAATTCATCATTAGCTAGTTTTGCACCCTTAGGGGTGGTATTTTTTTTTTTTGAAATTTAAATGGGGCCAATCTGGAAGTATACACTTTCAAAAAACACAAAAATTGTCCAAATCGGTTAATAAATGACGGAGTTCTGATATAACAAACATAAATAAACATATGTATCCGAATTGAGAACCTCCTCCTTTTTGAGGAAGTCTGTTGAAAAATTGTATACCATAACTCTTTAAAATAAAAGACGAAAATAATATTATTATTTATTATACTTAAAACATAAATAATAATTTTGCATAATTATATCTTTATATTTCAAAACTCATTTTGCATAAGTAATGTTATCTATTTATTATTACAATTTATAGATTTTGTATTAAAATAATTATCTATTGTACAAGTATAACAAAAACCCATTAAAATAAATTTTAAGTCTCATTACATAGCATGGGACGTTATATACCTACATCTTTTCATAACTTATTTAACTCATAGGCTTCTAGCAGCTGTGCATTGTTTTAAACTAAATTAATTTAACTTAAAATCAAGAAATATAAAATAAGTTGGGTCCGCCATTTTTAATGACTATAAAATAATTTATTATACTTGTATTGTTTAAGTTCTTCTTCGAGTATAACCATATCATATTTAAGTGATAGGTATTTAATGTGAAGAGACGACAAAGTTTTACCTTTAAGAATTTATCATACAGGTCTTGGGGCTTAGCCAATAGATAAGGCAGTTAAACTTACTCTCATAGATAAAATTCTTACCTACGTTTTAATCTGAAATAATTCAAATCGAATTAATTTAGGAAAAATATATTTTTACAAACTCTGCTATCAGAGAAGTACCTGCAGCAACCCGCGTGGTACACCACCCACCGAAGTGGGCCACCTCCCAGTGCGTTTATTGACTCCGCGCCCGGCTGTGTTGCCGGACGCTAATGAACCCCCGACCACGACAAGGTGAGCGCACGTTGGGGGAAGTAAACTCTGGCCTATAGATACATATATTTTGTACTTACATATAACCTACATCTTTATATATATAATTCTTCTGTGAGTGTGTATGTCACTGAACTTCTTCTCAAACGACTGGACCGATTTTGATGAAATTTTTTGTGTGTGTTCAAGGGGATCTGGGAATGGTTTAGATTCACAATTATACACGGTAGGTGGCGCTGCTGTCGGTGTGACAAAGGGTTTGTTTTTTTTTGTAGTTTAATCGCGGGCGAAGCCGCGGGTACAGCTAGTACTTTATAATTTCGATATAAGTAGCTGTACAAAAATTAATAAATTATAACAATATGTTAACCTATGTAAGTTATGTATATATTACAATCACGGATATTATGTTACACCCCACTACAAACTTATTCCAGGTTTTAGTCTATCTTGATATCCATCCAGCCGTTTTAAGATGAATGTGTAACAAGCATATACACACATACTAACATTCTCATTATAACAATAGTCCTATTATTGTATGTTTGTAGCGTCTTAAAACTCACAAGATTTAAAATTTTGGAAAGGAAATAGTTTTTATTTTTGTTTAACGCATTATGTACTATTTACCGACAATATATATATATACTAGTGAGTAGTATCATATGAGTGGGATCGAAAATTATATCGAAGAAATAAAGTGACTTTTGAAATGTTTGGAATATTTATTGAAATATTAAGAAATAATCAAAATCAATTCAAGAAAATTACTTTCGTTAAATTTAAAAAAATATATTTGCTAGCACAGAACCCTCGACTCAGACTCGCATAAGTCCTTAATTCTTGAGACTATTTACAGTGACAAAAGCTATAAAATAAAATATAAAGTACAAACAAAAGTTAAAACTACAATTTTGTCTTTCACTTTCACAATTTCTTATTGCGGTGACATGTTTCAAATGACTAAAAGCTTTTAAGGTTTGGATATTCGATACTTTTCCTTATTTTTCTTTTTTGAAACATTCCATCTCAAATATATCGAAACATAACATGTTTGAATAATAAATGCTAAGTAGGCAGTATAATATATATATATATATATATATATATCATAAAAATATTTTTATGTTATTTAAGAGTAAATAAAATTATGAAACAACTTATTTACTGCTTGTCTTTTTGCTTGGCTTATTAAGCTTATAAAGTTGATCGAATAAGGGATATATGTACTATTTAAGTACAAGCCCAATATGACTGTAAACTACGACAAATATCACGATTCTGTGTTCAAGAATTATTGTCCTCTTGAACTAAAAATTACGTTAAATAGAGGCAGTTTTAGAAAAAGTTTACTTATTTTCTACACAATCTACCGTAAAAATCATGATATCACTGATTTCAGAATCATCTTAAAAAAATCTAATTACTCCACGGTAAGAATAGATTTTAATTTTATATTACACTAGCGGCTCACCCTCGGTTCGTTCGAGTTCGCGTCTAAAAAAATACTAATAGAGATCTATTACTTCCCACGGGAACCGTTCATTTTTCCGGGATGAAAAGTAACCTATTTGTTATTCTGATGTATGACCTATATTATTGTAAAGTTTCATCAAAATCCAATCAGTAGTTTTTGTGTACTAAGCTGTATAACTTACTATAGTCTTTTGACTGTCCCACGGGAACCTTTTAATTTTCCGGGATGAAAAGTAGCCGATTTATTATTATCATGTATGATCTACATTATAGTAAAGTTTTATTAAAATCCAATCAGTAGTTTTTGTGTACTAAGCTGTATAAGTTATTATAGGTTTTTAACTATCCCACGGGAACTCTTTAATTTTTCGGTATAAAAAATATCTAAGATGTTGCCCGGGGATATAAGGTACGTTAAGAAATAATGACTATGAGTCTATGATCGATTCACAAACCTAGACGAATTAACATTCACCAAAAACACACCTTAATTCAGTACCTCTTGCTTTTTTGAAGTCAGTAAAAGTCAAATGTCACTTTACTCAGGCGAAATCGGCGAAATAAATTGTGCTCAATTGGCAGTGTGAAATGCCATAAACCAAAGAATTATATTGAAAAGTA